AAAAAAAAAAGTACCCAACACACCGTCACCCAACAAATGCCTGCATGCCAACTGTGGGCCAGGTGCCACCGAGCTGCTGGAGGTGGACAGTCAGCTGACAATGTCTAACAATTCTATTATTTGTGTCCAGAAGAGAGTTGGAATTTAAATGCTTCATTCACTCCTTTTATAGAAATCAAAACAATACAATTCAAAGGAGACCCCAGAGTTGGATACACGGCACCCTTAACTTTGGGGTCCCTCAGTGAACCCAAAGCTCTCCAGGCCAAGGGATGTCAGAACAGGAAGCAGCTGAGCCTCCCATCTCGGTGCGCATCGGGCCTGTGGGAATTCATCCCCGTCAACAGCAAGTGGCCTCTGTGCGAGATGGCTGGCTGTTCACATCAGGCTCCTTCATCTTCGCGGCCCCCACCAACGAGGACGGGATCCCCAGCTGTGTTTCCCTGAGGACAGCTGATGCGTCCCAGGCCCCCTTTCCAGGTAACGGCCAGCGGCACCCAAGAGCCCAGCCCTAACTTACCAGAGGTGCGGTGTGGGGCCGGAGGGAGAAGGGGGCCTTTGCTGGGGGCGGAGTCTCTGTTCTTGATATCATGAGCATTTCTGTAGATGGAGGGCAGCCTGCTCACCAGATCCGAGTTCATGCCCAACTTCTCCAGCTTTCCCAGATTCTCAGAATTCAAGAAATCGTGAGATCGCTTGCAGCCTGTGCCAAACTTGCATTCACCCTGTAAAAAGTACTGGCAGAGGTGCAGCTTGATGCACTGTTTCTGGAAGGAGCAAGAGCCATAGGGTCCATCCCCTTTGTTGTAATGCTGGCAGATCTGTGGGGAGAAGAAAGACAGCAGCTGAGGAAGGCTGCGCATCACCACGCACTACCGACCGCATCAGTCCCCTGGCTCGAAGCAGCCCACAAAGCTCGCCCAGGCTGTGATGCCTTGGTCCCCACGCTGCCATGGGAATAGTCCTCACTCTAGACACAGGCTGTCAACATCCACGCTCGGCTAAAATGGGAAGTGGGTAGACGGCAGACTGCTCAGAGCAGAACCTTCAGCTGGGGAAATCCAAATCGCTTCAAGCTGATCACAGCTGCTTGCCTCACCACACACTTTCCTGTAGCTCAGACAAGCGCCCTCCCCATGCCCTTTTCCCTAGCCTACCCCATCCTGCAGCACTCCCATACCCAGGATCCAGAGTCAATGCTTTTTTCTCTTTCTATGATTCAGCATCAAAGAGGTTTGGAGTAGCTCAAGAATCTTCCAGATGGTCAGATACAGTCCTTGCCCATCCGCAGTGCAGACTGAGACTCAGAGCAGTCAACCCGCCTGCCCAAGGTCACACAGACATCTAGTCCTCTCTGGCACTCACAGTATCTGTTGGCACGTGTGGCTAGGGCCACTGGGACTTGAATTTGAATGAGTGATTCCCTCCCCTCTACCTGCAAACTCTTAAGGATGGGACAAGAGATCACCAATGGCCCATCTGCTCAACTCACAGCCCTGCACGGAGCAAGACATGGAGGTGCTCTGGAGGGCTGAGGACCTCAGACCTGGATCTGCAGGGAACCAGCTCTGGGGACAGAAGCCCCCAAGGACAGGCTAGACAGTGCTCGGCCCTAACCTCAATTCTGCCACCTCAAGCTGCTTGTCCTGGAACAAGCCATTTACCTGCTCTGAGACTCAGCAGTCCCTGAAATGGGAATAATGTTGCCTATAAGCTGATGTGAGAATTAACAGGGAGGCGTGCCAAGTGGCTAATTCAATGCTGCAAACATACTGGGCGCCTGCACTCTAGTGGGCATCCCCCACGTGGGCGTCTAATAAGGGCACCAGGCTACGCGCAGAAGCTCAGGCAGGAAAGCCACACTGGGTCTGAGTCTGTCTCAGCTCCCATTTGGGGGCCCTGTGTTCTGGGCCAAAGCGTAGGTCCAGAGGTCAGAGGCTCACCACTCGAGCTGCTGACGCCGTGATCTCAGAGGGCACACCTACTGCCCGAACAAAGACCACCACCCCCGTGAGACAAAAGCCTCTGCTCACCACTTCTCTCCGGCCGCCGTTCCCACCCTCCAGCCACGAGGTCGTGTGGCCTTCACGTCCATCCAGACCAGGCCAGGCTCCCTCCCGGGCTTCGCTTCCCGGACCGTCATCCTCTACTCATCCTTCAGCGCCCAGAGCCAGCACCACCTTCCCTAGTCGCCTTCCCCTCACCTCAATGTACCCCCAAGAGCAGATATCTAAAACCACCTGCAATCACCTGCTGACCCGCGTCACCCTCTAAATGCGCCTCCCAGGAGTACCATGACTTTCGCTTCTTATGGCCAGTGCAGAACTCAAGATGACAGTCCTGAAGGTTAATCAAATGCAATCAATATGAAGTTTCAAAAGGCCAGAGAAAAAGTTACTATTTAGGAAGTGTCAGTCACTGTGCAACAGCAGTGACTAAGTGAGAAGGAAGCGTCTTCACGGAAATAACACCATCTCGCCGGTTACTACATGCCAGAAACAGCATCAGTGCAGCCCACAGCATGCACCGCCACTCCCTCAGAGGGCTGCTGCTCTTGTGAGCTCCAAGCACACCTGCTGCGCCTGGAGCCCCACTCACTCACGCCGAGGGCACACCCTGCCTGCTGCCCCTAGCGGGCAAGCAGCTCACCTTCTGGGGGACATGGTCGCCTCCTCCAGCTCTGACTTTGGCTGGGTAGGTGGGCACTTTCTTGGAATGGCGCTGCAGTCAGGGTCTCCTCCTACCCAGCCCCCCCCCCCCCCTCCCTCTCCCCTGCCAAGGTGTCAAACCTGCACCCCACCTAAAGGCTCCCCTACCTTCTCCTGCATCACCCCCACCCCTCCCAAGCAGTCTCTCACACATCTATTCCCACCATTCCCATCACAGAGTCTACACCTCAGGGAACCGAACCAGCATGTAACCAAAGCATCCAGCCTGGAAACGGGTGGCTCGTAGCTAAAATCCCACAAGTGCACATCAAAACTCCCTGGCTGCCGATGGATCAGTAGAGCGCATCTTCTTCCTGTCAGCAGTTCTGGAAAGCTCCACAGAACTACCAAGTCCAGGGATGCCCCTGTGATCCCAAGTGCTGCTACACAAGAGAGGCTGGCTGGAGACCCTCGTGCCCAGAGAAGCAGCAGCTTGCTGCAGTCACCACTCCTCACAGAAGCCCTGCAAAGCAGTGACCAGTACATCTGACATAAAAGGACATGAGGCTTCAAGAAGGGGCATGGATCTAAAAATGAGCAGACAGGGGCCTCTGGGCAGACCCTGTGGTCAAGAGGGGACCCTCGGCTTTTCTTCTGCTACATTTCCCTAGCTTTCACCCTTCCAGCCTCTCCCTTTCCATGCCAGCCCTGCCTGGCACTCACCTCAGGCAAAAGGCAGGGGTCATTCTGAAACAAAAGCTGGCGGAGTTCACTGTAGCTGAGGTGGTCGACGCCATGGGTTTTCAGCACACTCAGGTTGTGAGAACTCGTCAAGTTGTGACTGTTCCTACAGTTCTTCCTGCAAAGAAGCAGAGCTGGGATCAGGGCCCAAATGTGGTCCTCCAGGATTGGACACTGAAATCCTAACTCCCAGACTCTCAAGAGTGGTGGTACTGGAGGTGGAAGTGTCAGAGAGGTAATTAAGTTAAAATGAGGTGTATATGACTGGTGTCCACGAGAAGAGGGGTTAGAGCGGATGCACACGAAGGGAAGACACAGGGAGAAGGCTAAGCCCACAAACCACGGAGAGAGGCCATGAAGAAACCACCCTGCTGCCATCTCGATCTCCAACTTTCAGCCTCAAGAGTTGTGAGAACATAACTTCTGCTGTTTATACTGCCCAATCTGTGGTACCCAGTCAGACTGACACAGCTGATAAAACTCTTAAGAATTTTTCGTAATCAGTCTCTGACATTGGTAGAAGCACCAGAGAAAAGTTGGCATGCCTGTGCAAGGAGAAAACACCACACTTCTTTATAAAGAAGAGATGGCGCCTTATAGGGACCCAGGAAGGCACCCCTCAACAGCTGTCTGATGAGAATCACGGGCTCGGGGCGCCGTGCAGGCACTAGAACAATGGCTGATGAACGGTGCGGACACCTTGGGCTCTCTATACACAAAGGGCCCTGCCCTTTTCCCTTCCTCACACCCTGGCCCACCAAGTCCCCCGGAACACTAACCACAAACCACATGTGCAGCAACCCAGCCACGACTTCAAATGCGAACCTGGGTCACAGGACCAGGTAGAGTCAGGCAAACAGCCCTTACCTGACACCACGTGCCACCTTGCTGTCATGCTTAGCCTTAACATCTCATGTCAGCTCCTCCAAATCCGCATCTCCCACAGGCCCCTCAACTAGTAAAAGGCAACTCCCCTCTTGCATTGCAAGGGACCAAGTCCTTGAAGACGCGCAGGGACCAGAGGGCCTGGTGGGAAAGCGCCAAGCCAGCTGGGCTCAGAACACAGCAGCAGAGGGCAGGGGCCCCTGGGCCTGACTGAAGTGGGGAGCAATCCGGGGAAGGTGCCCGGATGTGAGACACCTGAAACACACACTCAGGAGGACCCAGGCAAGGGGAACACTTAGACAGTGGGCTGACACCGGTGCCGCTGGAGCCCGACACAGCTGATGGTGGTGACGGTGATGGCTGCTAACACTGGCTGGGCACTGATCAGCAAACAGGGATTGCCTCTGCGTTCCATAAGTTAATTTACTCAGTGCTCGGCGCGTCTATGAGGAAGGGCTAGCCCATTTTGCAGAGGAGGGAACCAGGTCAGAAGCAAGGAGCAGAGCAGGGCTGAACAGGTGGTTCTAAGCACAGGGTCCACGTCTGCAACCTGAGGCCCTTCCCAGCTGCTGCCAATGAGCCAAAGCCAGTGCTGACCTGGTTCTCCGACCCTGTGGTTCAGGAAAACAAGGCGAGTCACAAGGCAAACACAGAAGTGTGGACAACCACATCCACTTTCCATGCTGGGACCCTGAAACACTCCGAGAAGGCTGGTTCAACAAACACACCACTGTCAAGCATGAGGGAAAAGTAGGGTGAAGGAGAAAGCTCAAAATCATCTAGACTAGCAAAAATATCTTACCTATCAGACATCCAGATTTCCAAGATAAGTGAAGTGTAACCAGAATCTGGGGACACAGACAAACAAGAGGGCTGTCCTCCGAATCACCAGCTTACCCCCATCCTTAGAGCCACGCACCCACCGCTTATGGTCAGTCATCATTTGCTGGTCAAGGCCAGGTCACATATATGACAACGATGGAGGTAGGGTCCCCACAGGCTATGCGCCATGTGCCCCGAGGTGTGGCAGGTTACACCACCCAATGACATCTGCACAACACTAGCTTTATTTCGCAGACAGAACACACCCCTCCCTGAACACACCCCTCCTGAGCAATGCATGACTGCAGTGCATCCTTCCCCCATCAGTCAGCTGGGGTCCCCCCTCAGCAGACTGCCAGGGCTGCCACCACAGCTAGATGGCCCCAAAACTCCCAAACCAGCACTTCCAGATCCTGAGCTTCCTCCCACACTTCAGACCTGGGCATACTTCAAAACAAAACCCTCTCCCACTGCCAATGACTTTGCTGACGAAGAAAGGAAGTCACCTCTATCAACAATAAGAAAACTGGGTCACCACGCTCTCACCAGTCCTCATGTCCCCCAATTTCTCACATTCATCCCTTCCTTTTCAGGCTCTGGGGGGGGGGGCTTGGGAAATCCTAGTGCAGATACTTAGAGGCACTTGCTTCCCAGGCACCCCTTGCATCTAGCCCAGGGGTTGTGGGGGGAACAGCACTGTTAGAGGGGTGGGTCTAAAACACCTCCCACTCACCCCTAGCTGCCCCACCTCTTCCTGCACCTGATTCACAGAAGGGCCTGAAGAGCCTTGGGCTGAGGAAGCAGAGCTGAGGTCAGCCAGCCTGGGGTCCCCATGACTAAACTCCCACCCCATCCTGCTGGAACACACCTGAGCAAGAAATAATATTGACTGTCAGCCAAAAGCAGAAGGTAGAAAAGGCCCAAATTCTTCTCCATCACTGGAGTGGCTTCCAAACAGGTCCCTGTCACGCCTTCCCTCTCACACTACCTCAGCTTCAACAACTGCCCCAGGGTTGCCCCCTGTGGCCCTGAGGGCCCGCCCCCATCACCTTGAGGTTGCCATCCAATTCCTGTAGTTTAAACCTCCTCAATCCACGCCACCAGCCTCAGAGCTGAGTGCTGGGGAGACAGCAGGCCTTTGCCCAAACTTCACATTCTCTTGGGGGTGAGGGAAGCTGAGATGGGGGCCATTAGAAGAGACAAGGGGTCACATGGTAGAGGGAGAGGGAACAGAGCTCAAAAGAGACACTTGGGGGGAGGGCTGAAGGATTCCCGGGCACACTGAGAAAGGCCTTCCAGGCACAGTCATGGCCACCAGATAAGCTCAGGCCAGATAAACACAAACAGGGATTGAGGGGGGAGAGGGGGCGGGACCCCCGAAGAGGAGGGCATCAGGAGGGGCCAGCTCTCTAGGGACTGAGGGATGCTTGCAGGCTCGGAACTCAGCCTGCTGCTCAGCAGGGGAACAGGGAGGGTTAAGTGAGGGTTAGCAGCCGCCTTCCAGGAGCCCGGCGGGGAAAGGCCTCTTCCACTAGTGCGTGTCAACCGACTGGGAAGCCAGGTCGGGCGTTTTTCTGGAGCGCCCTCCCCGCAGCCCTCCAGCCCCACACCCCGCGGGTGCCACGGGCCACCGGCCTCTGAGGTCGCAGGTGCCTCGCGGCCACCGCTCCACCGCGACTCCCTCCCCTGACCAGCCTCCCCCTCCCCCACCCCGTCCCCGCGCCAGGTATTCCGCAGGCGCTCAGTAAATTCGCTGAAGCGACCAGGGGCGGGGTGGGGGTGAGGAAAGGGCATCTCTGGCCTCGCCTAGTTGAAGGCCACCCCAAATCGGTCCGCGAGGCACGGACCGGACCCCCTCCCGCCCCACCGCCCCGCGGGGGCCATCGAGCCCGGGGGCGGCGCCTTACCCGGCCCTCAGGAACTTGCAGGCGCCGTAGACGAAGAACTTGCAGAGGTGCAGCTCCGTGCACAGCCCGCTGCAGCTCGGCTTGGCTCCCTGGTGCGCGCGGCACAGGCGCAGCTCTGAGGCGGCCAGCACCACACGC